GGGCTTGGTTACCACACCTTGCGATTAAAGGGCCGAGGGAGTTCTCGCAGTTTGGGTTACCACGCCTTGCGATGGATGTGCGTGAAGGGTGGCACCGAATTTCAGAAATGTGGCAAATCCCCTGTGTTTTTGGACCCTGACCCCGCGGATCTGCATAAGGGGTGGCGCCGAATTTCAGAAATGTGGCAAATCCCATGTGTTTTTTGGACCCTGACCCCGCGGATCTGCGTGAGGGGTGGCACCGAATTTCAGAAATGTGACAAATCCCATGTGTTTTTGGACCCTGACCCCGCGGATCTGCGTGAGGGGTGGCACCGAATTTCAGAAATGTGGCAAATCCCATGTGTTTTTGGACCCTGACCCCGCGGATCTGCGTGAGGGGTGGCACCGAATTTCAGAAATGTGGCAAATCCCATGTGTTTTTGGACCCTGACCCCGCGGATCTGCGTGAGGGGTGGCACCGAATTTCAGAAATGTGGCAAATCCCCTGTGTTTTTGGACCCTGACCCCGCGGATCTGCGTGAGGGGTGGCACCGAATTTCAGAAATGTGGCAAATCCCATGTGTTTTTGGACCCTGACCCCGCGGATCTGCGTGAGGGGTGGCACCGAATTTCAGAAATGTGGCAAATCCCTTTGTGTTTTTGGACCCTGACCCCGCGGATCTGCGTGAGGGGTGGCACCGAATTTCAGAAATGTGACAAATCCAATGTGTTTTTGAACCCTGACCCCGCGGATTCCCGCGGATCTGCGTGAGGGGTGGCACTGAATTTCGAGCCCCCCCAGCAATTCAAACATCGCGCCCAGGGCGTGCTAAAAAGCCGGTTTGGGCCTCCCCCCCTTTCGCGCGGCCAATCAACTAGTTACAGTAACCAGCAATAAGCAGAATTGCAACACTGGAAACTACAAGCTACAACTGGTACAGGAAACTGCGAATCCCGCTCCTGCAGCCTGGTGGCCCCACAAGGGGGCCGGCGGATATATATATATATCTATATATATATATATATACATATATATATATATCCCCCTGGGGGGGCCGACCGCTGCTGCTGTGGTTCAGCACCTCTTGCCGAGCAGGTCGGCCTCCCTGGGAGCATTGACGCGCACACCAGAGCCCAGGGTTCCAGTCCCAAGTCTGGGCGCCGATGGAGATTCTTCTGTCCACGCAGTGACGGGCGGGAGCCGAGGGTGCGATCCGAGCCCACGGATCGCGCATCCAGCACGATTGTGATACTATGCATACAGAGCTGGAGAACACGGGCATTACTGTTGTCAAATGGTCGACGAAGCGAGCCATCCGCAACCTGTTCATGAATGGCACGTGTCGGTACAAAGGCCGACAGTACGATCTTGCGCAGGCTACCCAGCTCGCCGACTTCGCTACCCTCCAGAGCGTGCGTGGGGCACTCGGCACGAAGTCCAGGGCTGCAGAGGTGCTTGGGTTGCCGGCTGCATCTGATGTCAACCGAGTTCGACGGCTGCGACATGCTCAGGTATTGGACGAAGCACACCAGATACGCGCACGTACCTATAATTGCGAGAGCCTGCGAGTTGTTGGGAGAATCGACGAACTGCTCCGACTCGCTCGCACCTCCGAGATTCATGTTCTTATGTTGCAGGGCACTTCTATGGATATTGATATTGAGTGGAAATCACAGGATTATCGTGTCATTCCCTTCCCGCGCTCCACGCCTCAATCAAGAGATGCCCTTATGATACGCGTTGACTCTGATATGTTTGGTTCTGACCCCATTGTTTGCAAACACACTTGGCTGAGGGGTAAGCTGGGAGGCATCCGAATCCGTTGTGGGAAAGGCCGGCACGAACGAGATCTGTACCTTCTTACTGGCAATGCACCTTTCTCAGCTCAACCAAGCCAGAAAGAACTTCAGGAGGACCAGCGTGAGTTTTGGCTCAGTATGGGTACTGCACTGCACTGCCTGACACAACATACACGTTCTACCTTGATTATGGGCATTGACAACAATGGTGATTTGGAATGCGAGCCCCCTTTCATTGGACACGGTGGCCAAAGGAATAGTAGGCCGACGTTGAACGCGAATAGTTTTGAGCTCACATCCGTTCTGAGAGATTTTCATCTGAGGGCACTCAACACATTCAACTCGAGCAGGCACTTTCATTGGACGTGGAAGCATCCCAGTGGATATCATTGCAGAACGAGCTTCTTGATTTGTCGCCTATCTCGCTCCCCTGGCATGTCAGCAGTGGTGGACTATTCTTCTCCAGTCAGCTTGGGTGGATACAGAGACCACAGACCTACAGATGGCCTTTTCAGACTGCCACCATGGTGCCCGACCAGATCGCCCAAGGCCGTTCCTCGGTGGAACAGGCCCCTCCTGGGCGAAGCGGTCAAGATCGCGAAGAAGCTCGATGAGAACCCAGATGCGAACCACGACTCCGAGATTGCGCAGCAGGTGATACAGATGCGCCATGTGATGGCTGAGCGTGTCACTGCTTTCCCACACCAGGCCTCGCCCGTCGACCAGTACGACTACCTCGAGGATGTCATTGTTCGCTCGGCCATGGACGCGGGCTTCATTCAGCAGCCTGGTACTCAGCCTACTCGACGATTGAACGTGCTGCAAGAGACCACTCTGAAGTTGGTTGCAGAGAAACATCGATGGATGAAGATATTAGCGGATGGAGAGTTTATGGATACATTTGTATATTCAGCGCAGCGCTTCTTTGCGATGCACCAATACCGATTGGCAACGAAGTGAGCAAAGGCGGCCATCCGCGCAGACAAGAAGGCCAATGCTGAGGTATTGGCCACCGATGCTGAAAGATCATTCGCTCGCGGAGACACCCGCGGTGCCCTTAAGATTGCGCAGTCCTTAGCGCCCAAAACATCATCATCTTCAGCAACATCGAAGTTTAATGGGCAGTATTGTTGGCGATCGCAAGAGGAGATTGAGGCTAAAGCCATTGCCGTGAAGGAGATTTTTGAAGCAGCAGATTTGCCGTTGCATGAGGAAGTTACTCGACGGAGAGCTTACGGAGTGAATGAGGGCACTGAAGTAGCAGCGCCTTTTGTGTTCACTGAGCATATGGCGGAGGACATGATCCACACGATGCCGAACTTCAAGGCGGGCCTTGCCATTTTGGCGCCGGCCCAGACCCAGATGTACAGAGGTGCGGTGGCTGAGTTGTTCAAGCTCGTCAGCTCACAGATTTCCTTTCCACTTGCTATTGCCAGCACTGGCATGGTTTCCGCCCGCCAGGCGCCTATGTCTTTCAAAGATGGTGAGGCGGTCTACCTTCGCAAGCCTGGCAACGGTGACGGATCAGATGCTGGCGAACACTATCGCACCTTGAGCATGCTTAGCCATTGGGGTTAAAAATGGTGAAAGAGTTTCTTGGTGATTCGAAGGGTGTGATTGCTCGGCGCACCAGCCGTATCCAGTTCGGTGGGCTTCCTCATCGTGGCACTCGTGATGCTATTGCCATAGTTGAGGAAGTCATTGAGCGCGTGGCAGCCGCCGCGGCCAGAAGAGCCAAAAGCAAGCGGCACGACCAGAAGTTATTCATCAGAATTCAAAGCCTCTTCGATATGTCCAAAGCCTTTGACAAGATCGATCGCCGTAAGCTCTGGGAAGCAATGCGTGCTCTTTTTCTTCGTGAGGAATTGTTGTTGTTCTTAGAGGACACCCATGATGGTGCATGCATTCTAATCCGTGATGTGAAAACAGGTCGCGTCGTTCGAAGGCTGCGGAGCCAGTTGGGAGTTCGCCAGGGATCGTCTGAGGGCCCCTTGTGCTTCATCCTCCTGTACGACCTCACTATCCGTAAGATACAGCGCGAGCGAGGCGACCATTCCTTGATTGCGACCTTTGACACTAACTTAGAGAACCTCTTGGGGTCTGGTGCTCGATTCCCCGATCAGATATCCCTGGGAGACCGAGTGGCCCATCATAGGTTAACTACCCGTCTGTGGCGCTCTAAAAGTTACCCCTCAAGTTGAAAGCTCGTCTGTGGGCGGCACTGGTCCGCTCTATCCTTTTGTATGCTATGGAGGTCAGCCGAATCAGCCCTGGAGGTCTCAAGAAATTGGAACGCTGTCAGATTAGATGTCTCAGGCATATCGCTCGGCTTCCTGCGCATATATCGAGAGTTTCCTCTAATGACCTTCGTGAGCGTTGTGGCGTCCATAGTGTTGAATCTACTCTCCTTGTTCGTCGATGTCTTCGGATGCAGAAGGTTGTTGCCCCAGTCTTTCTAGACGATGAAGGCGACCCGCTCTTTGGCACCCGCGAGGATGACCCCACTGTTGCTGCGCGCGCTGCTGTTTTCGGATCGTTCGAATTTGAAGGCGATATAGATGATTTCACACCCCGTCAGATCAGGCTTTACGAAGACCTCAGGGCAGTGTTTGACGGGGCAAAGGAAGAAGCCCGAGCTCGCGCAGTATCCTTGGGAGTGGATCGCGAGGCGGGTGCGCTGTCTAAGCCGCGGCTGGAGTGGCTTGCCCGCGAGCCGCGTTCCACCTTTCGGGCCCACTTGTCCTTCAGCGCGGCGCCGACTGAGACTGCAGATGTTGAGAATATTGTTTGCCCACAGTGTGGCGTTGTTTGTGCTGGACCTCGTGGGCTCCACATACATCAGGCGAAGGCTCATCAGGCGTTCGATGTTATACCTCGTGGTGTTACTGGGTGCCCCCATTGCCAAGCTAAATTCAGTCGGCGTGATTGTCTTGTCAAGCACATTCGTCTCCTCCGCTGCCCTTTTTTCTCAGACGGTTCAGTTGCATCCGCGGCAGTGCCACCTGTGCCTGAGGGAGGCGATATTCAGCACCCCAGGCCGCCCGACACGAAAGGCAACCGACGACCCGCCGGGGCGGAAGGGGAAGGACGCGAAGTAGGGCTGGGTCGAGGCCGCGGCCGAGGCAGGCCCAGCGGAAGACAAGGACAAGGACGGCAAGGACAAGGACGCGGTCGTGGGTGGCCGCCGAAGAGTGCAGGAGCTCCAGTTGATGGAGGCGATGGCCACGCTGACGATCCAGCTCGACGAGGAGCGAGCGGTACAGAGCAGGGCTCAGAACTTCGTGCTAGAGGGCAAGTCGGACAGCGAATTCATGCAGGTGGTGGACTGGACCATTGAGCAGCACGACAAGGCGGGCGTGGACGCGCGCCAGGACGCAAAGGCCAAGGGCGTGGAGTTCAAGGGGAACCCGTTCGGCAAGAAGCCAGTGGCCCTTTTTTTCGGGCATGCTTTTCCGACTGGGAGGACAGGCCGAGAAGTCAGAGTCGAGGAAAGCGATCTTGGAGAAGATCAAGGAGAGGGTGCAGAAGAAGGAGCTTGCGGACACAGCACCAGCGGCGGCGTCTGCCCTGCTGGACCAGTTCGTGGTGTTCGGCAAACAGGCGTCGACGTTGCCCCCGAAGTTTCGGGCATCGCGATGCTTCAAGATAGAGTACAGCCAAAATGCCGAGGACGGCCTCCAGGACGACGTGGCCATGACTAAGTGGATCTTCGCCATTCCCTCGTGCCGCGAGATAGAGTCTGTGCTGATGCAGTCTCGTGAAGCACAGTTACTTCGCGGCATCGGCTTAGAGCTGGACTTCGACCGCGGTCCGAGGAGCAAGGCGGCAAAACATGTTGCGAATATTGCATTCGGATCTGATAGTGCGAAGGGGAGTGGCAAGGGCAAAGGCGGTCTCTTCTCGAAGAAAGTGAGAGCGTGAGGCGGGCGGGGTCCGAGCTAGCCGCAGAGGTGGCGTGCTCGGCCTCGCCCTCGACTGAGCCGTGTGGCCGTGGCGCTGCACGCGTCGAGGCAGGAGCCTGCCTCGATGATGGCCACGCCTAGCACGCTGAAGCCTCCTGGACGGGCAAGCGAGGTGCCAATATATATATATATATATATATATATATATATATATATATATATATATACATCCCCGTGCAAGAGGCCGGGGCGCCCGGGGCCGCGACCTCGACGGGGCATGGGGGTTCCGGGGCCCCCGTGCACGAGGCCGGGGCGCCCGGGGCCGCGACTTCGACGGGGCATAGGGGGTTCGGGGCCCCCGTGCACGAGACCGGGGCGCCCGGGACCGCGACCTCGGGTGCGCATGGGGGTTCCGGGGCTCTTGGGGCGCTCCCAGCACGTTCCTGGAGGCGCCAGACCGCCCCAGAATGGCCTCACGAGGCCAAAATCGTTGATTTCCATTGGTTTTAACAATGTTTTTTGTTCTCTCGCTTTTCCAGCTTTCCGACACTCCAAGACGGCCCTGGAGGTTCCCACGGGAGCCCCAGGAGGCCCCCAAGCAGCCCCAGAGGCCTCCAAGAACCCCCCCAGAGAGCTTCGAGCGGCATTCCGAGATGGCCTCACGAGGCCAAAATCGTTGGTTTTCATTTGTTTTTACTATGTTTTCCTTGTAGTGTAGTGATGGGTCGGGAGTTGTAGCGGAAATGCTGAAGAACGGGGGCGCTGTCTTGCACGATCGTGTCCTGCTGCTGTTCAACGAGGTGCTCCGGCCGGACAGGGGGCCTCCAGAAGCGTGGAGGCAAACGAGATTGGTCGTCATCTTCAAAAAGGGTGACCCTGAGCTGCCACAGAATTACTGACCGATCGCAATCTTACCCGTGTTGTATAAGCATTTTGCCAGGATGGTATGCGACCGTGCCCAGCCTGTCTTAATGTCGAAACAGCCGCCAGATCAAGCCGCCTACCGGGAGGGGTATTCGACGGAGGACCACTTGCTCTCTCTAACTTTACTTCTGGAAAAAATACCAAGAATGGAATCAATGCGCGTGGCAATGCCTCGTGGATTTCGAAAAGGCCTTCGACACAGTCGAACACAATGCGCTATGAAGAGTTCTTTACGACTTCGACGTCGATGTGCCCTACATCACATTGTTGAGAAAGTTATACGCGCACCAATGTGCTGTTGTCTGCGCCGGAGCAGAATCCAGGAGTTTGTCTTTGGCGCGAGGGGTCAAGCAGGGGGACCCACTCAGCGCGTTGCTGTTCATTGCCGTCATGGAAGCATGTTTCGGGAAACTTAAGAACAGGTGGCATTCTCTCAACAGGCGGCGCACGGTGCAGCACTACGGCTTCGTCATCGAAAACCCAGAATAGCCGCTCACGAACCTTCGTTTCGCCGACGACGTGCTGCTGTTCGCGCAGGGCAAGGCCGACGCACGGAAAATGCTGTCAGATCTGAAAACAGAAGCTTCGAGATATGGTTTAGCTATGCACTTGGGAAAGACGAAAATCCTCACACACTGTGAGCTGACAGGGGGGGCTTCTGTCAGAGTGGGAGAAGACGACGTTTCTATCTTGCCGCCGGGCGCCGCCGAAAAAATACTTGGGCAGACTTGCATCTGTAGGAAACTTTCAGGCAGCAGAGCTCACGAACATAATGAACGCAGCCTGGCGCGCCTTCGCCAAATACAAGAGTGTATTGTGCTCAAAGAAGTGCCCCTTGGCATCCCGGTTGAAGCTTTTCGACTCTGTCGTCACGCCGTCAGCCTTATACGCGTGCTCCACCTGGGCACTGAAAGTTGCAGACACACAGACAGTCCGGACCACGTGGCGAAAAATGATGCGCAATATCTTCCAAGTACCCAGGAAATATTCAGAGTCATGGGTGCGGTACATGCGACGATCTACAAGATCGGTCTGCTTGCGCGCTGCTGATTTCGGGGCCGCTGACTGGGTTCTGACGCAGACGCAGAGAAAGCAACGGGCCTTCCATCAGTTACAGTCGCGCGATAGCGTCAAGTGGAGCAGCAGATTACTCTCGTGGAAGCCGTGGTTTCGCACGGAGGCTCGCCGCCGACAAGGGCGATTCGTTGTGCGATGGTCAGGCGATTTCAAGCACACACTGCTGCAATGGTGGGCTGGCGCCCCGCGCCCCCAAGGGGCCGGCTCTCGCAGCCGGGCGACGGGCCTCTGTTCTGTTATGTTTTCCTTTTTCGCTTTTCCAGCTTTCCGACGCTCCAAGACGGCCCTGGAGGCCCCCAAGGGGGCCCCAAGACAGCCCAAGAGGACCCCGAGGGAGCCCCATGACGGCCCAAGAGAGCCCCAGGACAGCCCAGGAGGCCTCCAAGCGAGCTCTAAGACGGCCCAAGAGGCCCCCCAAGGGAGCCCCACGACGGCCCAAGAGAGCCCCAAGACGGCCCAGGAGGCCTCCAATGAGCCCCAAGACGGCCCAGGAGCCGCCCAAGACGGCCCAAGAGGCCCCCAAGACAGGGGATCCGATTGACCTTGCGGGCCCGAGAGGCCCGAGAGGCCCCCGAGGGGCCCCATGCAGGCTTCCAAGAAACCCCCGATAGACCCCCGAGAGGCCGCCGAGGGGCCCCAAGAGGCCCCGCACAACCCTCTGGCCGGACGCCCTCGGGCACTTTTGCTGCTCCCGAAGCTTCAGGGCAACTCTTCGCTTCCTGAGGCCGTTCTCGGCTACCGGTGCCCCTGAACTGGCCACGGGCCCACCAAAAAAGGATGGTGGCAACCCGACCCCGGGGCGCCCGCCCAGACGCCGAGGCAGGCCGGTGGGGCCAAGGCGGCGCGGCAACAGCCGTCGAGCCCGAAGCCGACGCCAGGCCGGCCGACCCCGCGGCCGTCGCGGGAGCTCGCGGGCAAGCGAGGTCATCTGCCTCCTCGAGCTCTTCCTCATCGCCCGCGTCCGCCCAGGGCTCTCGCGGAGCAACGGGCTTCGCGGGGCGCCGCGACGCGGGGGGCGCGGGCGCGGGCGCCAGAATTGTGCGGCCAGGTGCCTCGCTGCTGCTGCTGCTGCCGCTGCTGCCGCCCGCGCTGCTCGGGGGGCCCACGCGGCGGCGGCGCCGGCAATGGCGCAGGCCACCATCGAGGCGGCCCCCATCGCTGCCACCTGCCGCGCCCCCGCTGGAGGCGCCGCCACCCCCGTAGCCGTGGGGCGCCGGTTCCTAGGATCTCATGCCCACCGCAGCAAGATGCCGTCGGGGACAAAGGAAGTCTGGTAGCCCCGCAGCCCGGCGATGCGCACGGCTGCTGCCACGAGCTGGGCGCGGTCTATGCCGTCGCCGCCCCCGCCGCCCACGCAGCCGGCCCCCTCGGCCGGAGCTGCCTCCGCAGGAGCCGACGCTGTCAGAGGAGGCGCCGCTGCCGCCAGCGGAGGCGCCGCTGCGGCCGTTAGCAGCGCGCGCTGCGGCCGCCAGCGCGGCGGCCGCCAGCCTTGCCCCCGCAGCCCCTGACCCGTCCTCCTCCGGCGGCCGACTCGCTGGAGTAGTAGCTGGTCGCCTCCTCGCCCTCCTCGCCCCCTGACGCCTCCCCCTTCGCGCCGGGCTGCGGCTGCGGTCCGAGCGCCCGAGCGCCCGCCAACTCGGCGCTTGCGATCCTCCCGCGGCCGCGGGGAGCGCGCCCAGCCACGCTGGGGGCTCCGCGAAGCCGGCCGCTCCGCCTGGCCAAGCCGCTGCCGTTGCTGCCTGCGCCGCCCCCCCCGCTGCGGCCGCTGGCCCTGGCGCGCCTCCTTGGCCCGGGCTGGCCCAGGCACTTGGCGCCGGCCCCAGGGCGGCGCCGGCCGGGACCCGCACGGCGAGCCAGCCCCAGCACCAGCCTGGCGGGAGTTGCCCCAAGGCTGGGCCGGCGCCCCCGGGCGCGCTTCCCCATGAAGCGCCGGGCGCGCCGCCGCGCGCGCCCAGAGCCATGATGGCTACGGACTTGGATTCGTGTTCATAGATTTCTTGGCCCCGGAGTCTGAGGCGGCCTCTTGGGGGCCAGAGTTTGAAGCGGCCGCTGGCGTTCATGCCGCGATATGGAGACGATTGCGGACACGGGAGTCCAGGCCGCAGGTCATTTGGATCCTAGCGCACAAGAGCATCGACGATTACTGGGATCGGTCGCTGCGCCCGCTGCTCGACCTGGGCCCTGGGCAACATCTGGGCAGACCGGTTTGCTCGACGCGGGGCTGATATAGACTCAGCGCCGATGGCCTACGAGGAGTTCTACAATGTCGAGATGGAGTTTGCCAAGCAAGCGGCCGCCTACATCGGGCGGGCCATGCAGCGATCGCCGGGGGCAGGGCGGCGGGAACCTGACAGTCGAGAGGTCGCGCCCAAGCTTGCCGGCCCACGCGCCACGGCTGCGCAGGCGATTTCGCATGTCGCGGCAAAGTTGACCGATGGGTCGCTCGCGTGCCCGCGGTGTGCGAGAGGGGCGCCAGGGAGTTCCAGAGCTGCGCGGAATTTGTTGCTCGGGACGTCGCGTCAGCATAACCAGCTGGATGCGTCGCGTGCGGAAGCTATGGTGGAGTTTGGTTGTGGCTTTGCCTATAATATTTCGGAGGCTGGAAGGCTTGCGGTGGATGCGCTGGATGCTGCGCCCGCACTCGGAGACCCTGGGGACGTCGGTGAAAGACTGGGCCCTGAGTGGGCAGACGCGAATGTTTTTATTTACAATGGCCACCATCTACGGCGAGCTCGACCCACAGTGTTCTGTGAAGTTAGCGTTGCCTGGTCTGCTGGTGGTGTGTCCAAACAACTCATGTCAGTGTGTGGCAGTGTACCGAGTGGAGTGGGCATGGTTAAGATTTCCCTGTCCAACATCGATTCACGGCGCCGACGATTGCTGAATGGGCTCCGCCCGAAGGACACTATGTCGCTAACCCTATATGATGTGCCTGCTGGTGGTGGAGCACGCAGCGCAGCCAAGTCGAAGTCGTCGTCTGCTTGATCGACGTTTTCTGGACTAGTGTTTGGTGTGACC